ATTCGGCTCATTTTTCGTTTGAGCCCCCAACGAAAAGCGCGGAGAACCTAACGTCGGTGACTTTTCATATGATAGCTAATTGTCAATATGCAAAGCTTCAAATTCATCCCAGCGATGCCCTTAACGCAAATCCTAAGTATGCCGGCTTCGTTGGGATAAACGCCGCTTATTCTACGCATGATTCTCCTGCAGATGCTACTTGGAGTCATAAGCCCATTAGCACCATGACTGCTATGCCTCTGATACCAAATTACCAAGGCGGCGCGAATACTATCTTTACTTATCCCCAGTCGAGGGCGCCTGACGACGATAAGCCCCCAGCAACGCACAAGGACAAGGCTAGCCCTTCACCTTTTTGAGGAGGACCACCCCAATAGCGACGACTAATATCCAAATGTTATTCCCCACGAACTTTAACAGTTCGCCGCCGGCCCTAAGTGCCAAGAAAACAACCGAACCCAGCAGCCCAGGAAGACCGGCTGCCATCTTTTTTCCCAAGTCCGTCAAACCAGAACCTAGTTTTTTCACACCCGCCCCTGTAGCCTTAAGCGCGGATAAGATCACACCTACTACGCTTGAAATAGCGACCGCAAATGCCAGCGGAACGCCATACTTCACCAGAGCTCTTTCTACCTTTTCCTTGGTGGTAAGTCCCAACTTTTTTTCCATTTTGTCTTTTTCCGCCCGCAATTCCGCGACTTCTTCCCGAAGGGCCTCCGCTTCCCTTCGAGCTGCTTCCCTTTCCTCTTCGGGGCGCGACAGGTCCGCAATTATTTCCTGCTTTTCGGATATGTTTCTTTCCAAATCTTCGATGGCCGAAGTTCTTTGCTGGATTTGCTCTTCTTTAATCTTGATTTCAGCAACTAACTGCCGCCGCTCCACCAAAGAGCCCTCCATGGTGGTTTGTAAGTCCTTAACTTCCTCCTGACTCATGTTTAGGTCTTGCAGGGCAAGGTGAAAAGCCCGTCGAGCTGCATCCCTTTCATCTAAGGTCTTTTCAACTTCTCGCCTGATCGTTGATATGTCTTCATCTTTACTTTTACCCAGCTCCAGTAATCGTCTTTGATAGCTTGACTCCCTTTCCCTTAGTGTTTCTTCTAACACCGCCGTTGGAGTATGTGTTCTTCTGGCCTCCTCCAACTCCCTTTCTGCATTATCCCGAGCACGTAAAGCCTGATCTAACTGCTTCACCATTTCTTCCATTCTTGCGTCTTGATGACTAAACTGTCTCTCAGCATTAGTAAGTAGTCGGGTTTGTCGCACATACTCTGCTTCCTTTACCCTTAACGTTTCTTGTAACCCCTCGACGCGCTTTTCTAGCGCGACCTTTTCATTCAGGGTTTCCAACCTTTCTAACATGCTTCTAGTAGCCTGCTGGAAACCTCTTAATCTTGCGACGTCGCCCCTAACATCACCAT